GAAAAGCACGGGAAAGTAAAGTAAACTCTTTTTATTCATACGGCCCAATGACAAACTAGCAAGAGTTGTCAAATAACCGTTGATATGTGCAGTCAGTCTAATGTCGTTTTCGTTTTTACGGTGTAGCTACATCGGCACTGCACCACCGTACACCGAACAATTTCAGGGTGCACCTTTGTTTACAAACAAATTATGTTAAGCGGTCTATGACTTGCGCTTATTGCTGCTTACACTACACCGGTGTAGTGTAGCAAAAACGAAAACGACATAAGCTAGCTAAGACAAACTCACAAGAGATGTCAAATGTGACAAGAAAAGAAACAAGTGAAGCATAAGGTGTGTGAAAACACAAGTGTGAATAGGAATCTTAATTTTTCATTCTTGATCGTCATCAATTCTTAATATCTTTGCGGAAGCCATAATCTTAAACCAGTTCTTTCATCTTAGACATCGGACATTAAATAATTAGGTAGCGGTTATTCATAAACTATGTAGATGCTTTGGGTAATAAGGAGGGGGTTATTACTTGTCTACTTGGGGTTATTACTGTTACTATTCCGGATGATCATGAAATTTTCTGAAACCTTGGCTGCTGGTTGACCAGGTATTCAAGATTTATCGATATTATTTTGAGCTTGATTCGCTGATTTTGTATGAAGTTTGAGCAATTTTAGTAAAACACCAAATTTTGGGGTATCCTTTGTGAAACTGCTATTTATTGAATACAATACATCAAACATGCTGAATTTTTGCTCATTTATAATCAAGACGTGGACCTTTCATATGGTTTTAGATTTACTGCAATCCGTTCAGTACGAAAAAAGTTTGTTTCATAATCTGATAAAAATGGCAAGGTGATATACTTTGGTCCGAAATTCACACGTTGCTTTTTTGCATATCACTTTATGATAATGAATAGATTTGAAGCCAAGTGCCCTGACCATCTAGGATGTTACAGTCTCATACTTCCTATATAGTCAGGATACATGACTTCAAACCTAATTATTATCATAAACGGTTGTGATAGAGATGATATACTTTTGTCTGCAGAATTAAAACCCTGATCGGACAAAAGTATATCACCTTATCATTTTTCTCAGATGGTACGTAATGGACGGATTCTAGTAAAACTAAAACCATATGAAAAGCCCATGTTTTGACTACAAATGAGCACAAATTAAGCTTGTTTAGTCTATTGTACTTCAAGAAATTGCAGTTTCAAAAAGGGTACACCGAGTAATTTTACTAAAATCGCTTAAGATTCATACTGAATTAGCCAATCAAGCTCAAAATTATACCGAGATAGTTACAGTTTTTTAAACTTTTTTGAAGAGAGAAAAAATCACGAGGTGATAAACTTTTGTCCTGTACTGTATATGTATGGTCAAACATATATTAATGCATATATTTATTTTCTTTCAGGTTTTTTTTTTGCAATCGTTGCACATTATTGTTGATTAACATATTGTTATTGATTTTTATTGAAACTCTGTAAAACACTGTGAATATAATTCGTTTTCTTACACTAGAATAGTGTTTTTGTTTTTGTTTTCTTTTTGGCTTATAATTCCGTCTAACCCGTCCTCGAATGTCCGTGATTCATGTTGGTTGTTAATTTTACCTTCGATTCGCCTGTCGGACCTGCATAGAGGTTGTCACGGACGGTAAGTATTGAAAAATCTTTTTCCACTAGAATAAGAGATGTTCAATTTTACTCACATTCATGGATTCTACTGAAAAAAGGTTTTTTTTTATGTGGATCACCTATGCTACCAAGGTGGAGAAAGAAGAAAAGGACTAAATAAATGCTGACTGAATAATACTGGATTGACATTCATCAGACAGATCAGAAAGAGTGACTTTTTTGTCTAAGAAGACAAAAAAAAAAATATTGTCAATTGAATATAATTTGTGGCCTTGCTTAGAAGTTATGTCAAATCTAGAAGATCATTTCAAAAGGTCCTATGTGGTTTGATCGATTATCTTTATCGACTTCCTCTGTTGATAACCACGGCTATGCAAACACATATCGTGATTGTTTGGCTCACAGTTTGTTAGCAGAAGCTATTATCATAAACTCAGACCGTTTAATGCTGCAGGGAATGCTTTTAAAGCTGAGTTATTAACAAAAGAGAAAAACGATGAAAAGAATCAATCAATGCAGATAGAGCTTTTTGAAATGTTTGTCTAGAAATGTCTCGGAATCATTTTATTAAGTCAAAAATAGAAATAGATGGCTTAATGCCCTAATGGTACATTTTTATTACTTAAGGAACATTTTCTTGATTTTAAGGAGCATTTTTCTATGGTTTTAATGCAATGTGTTTTATTAGTGGGTACTAATTTTTGTTGTGATGTTACAATGAATATTATTTAAGGATCATTTTATGATTTTTACTGTACATTTCCTGCTTTTAAGGGATATTTCCGCTTGGACATCTCAGCAAAATAGGGTTACCAAATGATAGAACCATAAGCTAGGAAATGGAAAACGGGGGGCTTCACAATGGAGCTAATAAATAATGTATTCTTGATTTGTTGCTATGGGCCAAAGTGATGTTGGTAAGGAAACATTTCAAATATTTATGGTACAAATTAGTGTGTTTCTCGGAAAAAAATATTTTACTTTACCGCACTTTTTTCCCCATTTAGTGATAACTTGTGCATTTTTACTGAACATTTCAGCTGATTTCATGGTACTTATTAACCTTCCTACAGCAGCTTTTCCGATGATATATGGTACAATTACACTTCAAAAAGGTGCAAAGCGGTGCATACTAAGGAGCATTTTCAATTGCTTAATGTACAGTTTTCTCTATTTTAGGGAGCGTATTTTAAATATTTACTGAGCATTTTAAGATTTTTAACGTATTTTGATCAATCATTTAAGGAGCAACCCGATGTATTTTAAGGAGATTTTTTTTACTTATTAAGGAACATCGTCATTGTTTAATGATTCATTTACCTTTTTACCATTCTATGTCTAGTAGGAGTTGGGCCGATTACTCGCGGCTTACTCGAGGTTAGAAGGGTACATTTTCGAAGGATAGGATCAGGGGAGGAGCTTGGGGTAGGGTTTCGTTGTCTCATCAGAGCGTTGTCGCCAGTATGAACGGTAGTGCTGTTCTAGCTTCGTCCGGAGTTCGACCGGCTATGGTGGGTGACCAGCGGGCGACGATGAGACTCATCGAGACGGGGGGACAAGACAAACAAAAACTAATACAGAGAGACAAAAGACAAAAGGAATTAAATTCTTATACTAGACATTTGAAGAAAAACATAAACGGACTGCATATAGCAGTGATAGAAAGTTACTGTCTTGAAAAAATGTATACTAGCACCATGAAGTGAGAAAATTCTGAACTACTGTCCATCAGCCAGAAGACCTTGACCTCCTGAACAATTTTGTCGTAACAGTAACTTTCTATCTGATCAGAATCTCGAGATAAAGCATATGCGAGAAGTGTACATATATACTAACACCACGTGGTGAGAAAATTCTTAACTACTGTTTACCAGCCAAAAAGTCTTGACCCCCTAAACAACTTTACCGAAGACAGCAACTTTCTAGCTGATCAAGATCTCGAGCTATTGAATATGGGAGAAAGACACGTATATACTAGCACCGCATAGTTAGAAAATTCTGAACTATTGTTACCCAAAAAAAAAAGATCTTGACCTCCTGAAAAACTTTTCCGAATACATTTACTTTCTATCTGGTCAGGATCAAGAGATATTTTATATGCAAGAGTTTCACATGTATAGTAGCGCCGTAAAGAGAAAAAACTCTGAACTACTGTCAACCTGCGAAAAAGCCTTGACCTCCTGAACAACTATGTCATAGACAGTACCTTTCTATCTGGTTGGGAACTCGAGATATTTTATATGAGAATTTCACGTGTATACTAGCGTCGCGGAGTGAGCAAATTCTGAACTTTTGAGCACCAAGCAATAGGCTTTGACCTCCTGAAAAACTTTGTGAATGACAGTAACTTTTTATCTGGTCAGGATCTCGAGATATATCACATGCGATAATTTCACATGTATACTAGCGCTACGTGGTGAGAAAATTGTGAACTACTGTCCTCCAGCGACAAGGCTATGATCTCCTGAACAACTTTGTCCGGGGGAGTAACTTTCTATCTGGTTAGGATCTCTATATATTCCATGTTGTAATCAATTAAGTCAAATCCCACGTGGTATGGTCACAGTTTACGCGGTTTCCATTTACATTTTCCCTATTATCCGCATTTTTTAGGTGTTAACTGTAATCAAAGTTTAGCTTGTTTAGATCAAAACAAGTTTTTTGAGGAATACTCGTTGGTTTCAGATCGATTGGTAACTCAGCAACAAAATGGCAATGGAAAACTCATGTGTGTTGTACAAAGTACAACAGCGCGAGTAACGTAGGGTTAAGGTCAGTTCCAATAACTTCAAGGTTATTGCGAGAATTTAAAGAAAGTCCAGAACTTTTAGGGAAGTCAAATCAGTGCCAACATTTCAAAGGGGCGTAATTGCTTTTGTAAACAATGACTTTAACCGTAAATTTCTCGCGAATGAAATCTTACCTCTACAAAATTACATTGCTTGCTAATAGAGGAAACATTCCTCTACCTGCTGGTGTAATTATTTTTCATGAGTGAGCTTTTATTCGCGAGAAATCGGCGACCTAAGCCATTGTTTACAAATGCAATTACGCCCCTTTGAAATGTTGGCACTGAAATGATCTCTAAGGGGGGCAACCCCGGCGTAGAGGTTAACATCTATACCTCTTACGCCAAAGTCACGAGTTCAAATTTCACCCCCGCACAAGAGCGTTAAAGTGACTATAATAATAATAAATTGCAAATATTTTACAGTAGTTTCGAAAGCTTCATGGAATTTCAAATCATGGATAGTTTAGTAAATTCTAGAAAATCTTTGAAATTTCTGGAATTTAAGGAAGCTTGATTGTTATTCTCCGGAATCCCTCTGAGGCCCTTTTTACTCAATATACCTACCTCTCCATCCGTTTTAGTTTTGAATCCACAACTGATTTGATGTAGGGGGAGAAGTAGCTCATCGATTCTTCCGGTTCGCTTCCTAGTATCGTGCTATAAGGTATCAGGCGATAACCAAGGTAGTTGATCGATAGCTCGATGACGTCATTTCGTTGGCGTCTGCAATGGAAAATTCTCATAGCAGGCGTTGACGATGGGACGTTGTCGAGTTGTTGAATAGCAACTATCGTGGTAACTCACCGATTACCTGTCGATCTGCCAAATTTGGAAAGACGTCTGCATTGAATTGTCTCATATAATAATCACAAGAAATTGCGAGTAGCTGAGTGGAATGGAGATAAGTTAAGCATTGGGTACAGGACCAAGTCTCCCCTGGGTGGTGCCAAAAGATGAGCGCAATAGAATCATCAAGTTGCCATAAGGCACGGAATGAGACTATTGCATGGCTGGGTAGTCAAAGTCTTCCATTCGTTAGTCATTTCAGGTGGATTAGAACAGGTTTAGGTTTAGGGTAGGCGTTGGCCAGATTTGGATTTTTCAGATGTAATCCTGGATAGGACCCTGTCATTGAACATCGCGTGAAAGTGGAACTTAATGAAGGCCTAAGTATTTTTTCGTAGTTTTTAGTTTTCGGATTTGAAAGATCGTCGGTTACAGTGGCCTGCTTACTGAGCAGAAAAACGCGGTCCCAGGTCCTTACATATCAAAGATAGTTATGGTAAAATCGCTTGTGTATCGTGTATTTTGCGATACTCGTTGTTGTCGTTGGTTCCGGGTTTGAATGGATACACAAATTTGAGCAACGGTATTATGTGATATGAGGGGCTCGGTGGCCTTAGCACAACCGGTTTTGCTTACTGAGTAGAACATCATGAGTCTAATCTCAGGCCCATCCACATTCAAGATTCGTCAATTGTTTTATTTGTTAATATGACTACATGGTAATAACAGCAACTCGGTGATTAAAAAGGTGCTCGTCTGCCTAGTGGCAAACGTTTTTGCTTACTGAGCAGAAGACCGTGGGTTTAGTCCCAAGCTCCTTCGCGTTATATGATCGTTAGGACATCAATTCAGCTTATCGTTTACCAAAACGAACCCTGCTGCAAACCCAACCCTCTTATCCAACATCCCAGTGATTCCTCGTGGAAGTGCAGAGGTGTTCTCGGCTTCCATCAAAGCGAGTGTCATGTCAACACAATCCTTCCCATTCCTTTCTTGACCTGTGTTCGGGCGCGGCCGGCGCTGGTATTGCCTAATTTAAGATCACCAGTTTTTACACATTGAGGATGATTGCTAGTCCCAAGCATCGTCTATTGGTTCTCTGTGTAAGTACAGCTGATCTGGCAGTAACAGAGTAGCAACCGTGGGCGGTCAATCAAGCTCAAGCTCAAGCTCAATCTGAATCCACAACTGATTTGATGTACTACGTGAGAGTTTCGGTTGAAAAAAAAAAAATTGTTTCGCCAGGGGTACATGATGTTGCTGTCAAATTGGAAATCTAAATATGCTCATTCTGAGAAAACTGCGTTTTAAGTTTTTAATTTCAAAAATAAAATATTTGGCAACACTGTACGACAACTTTACCACAAATTTATATTTAGATTCTCTGTCTAACTTTCTCATAAAACACTCTAAAATATAAATTGTGGCTTTATATAGATTTATATAGGGGAAATAGATGTAATGTTGGCCTAAATGTCCCTAATTTGGGCCCATATATTCAGCAATCGACTAAATTTTCAAATGCAACCAAAAATATCCATTAGTTCCGTCCCAATGACGCGTTCATCATCATCAATAGCAGATTTTTAGCGATGGGCCCAATCTTAGATCCATAGGCCAACATTAGAGCTATTTCCCCTATGATAAAAGAAAGTAGTTCTTTCTTGAAAATCACGAACAATAGAAAATGCTCACCTAGAACGATTGATTTGTTAATAAAAGTTAGACTAAAATAAACATTAAGTCAACCTTTTCCGATTTGCATGAGACTTTGCCATGTTATAGTCAATGATTCACATTTTTGCTAAGCTCGGCCATTTTGTATCTTGTAAAATTTGCAAAATGCCGTTTAATATTTTTTCTAAAAATCGTAGCACGTAAAGTGCACTACTATCAAAATGACGTTTGACAAGAAATTGTAAAGAAAAACTTTGTTTTGTTGGGAAATATAAACAAAACAATCTTTTAAGTTATTCACAGCAACAATAACAAAACGAATATTAATACCCAAATATATCAATATGTCTTTCCCCGATTTTTGTAAATTTTGTTTAAAAAAGCTGTTGAAAAATGAAATATTTTGAAATGTTAAACACAAATTAACAAAAATCGTAGAAAAGAGCTTTTAGTTATACATTTAAATACTTTGTTAAAAAGTTAATACATTTAAAAAAAAATCAGTTAAAAAATAATCAGAATAGCGTTCAATAATTTCACAAAATGTTCTTCTTCTACGATTTTTGTCAGTTTTCAAATGTCCATGGGATTCCTCAATTCAAAAATTTACATTTTTAGCAGTTTTTTTTTGTATGAAAATTCAAATATTGGGCAAGTTCGTTTTGAGACATTTGAGTTTAAACATTTATTTTTATTTTTAGTTGGCATCTTAATTCTGTTTTTATTAATTCCCCATATTTCAAGAACTCTATAAACTTACCTGTATTTGAAACAAACTTGGCAGCCCTGACACTTCTCGTATCATAACCCTCATCCACGACAAGCTGCTAAGTTCGAGATTGATCGCCAGTCTTTTGTGTGCTAATGGCCATCACCACAGTTGATCGTCAGCGAGCTTTGGTCTGCCTTTGGAAGGCCCTCGAGTCCACCACCAGTCAGTTGGCTGGTCGCTGCCGAAAAGAGTGTCTGATTTCATCGCACCATCCATTCAGCTCACAGCGAGTGGTATTGTATCGTCCATCTTTCCGTATCGCGGACTACCGTTAACGCACCAAAACTTGCCTTGATGTCGCACGTTTGAAGACCCACCAAACCCGAAGCCGTCGGCGACTAGCTAGCAGCTCGTAAACGCGAGATTTCCTATTAATTTAAATTCCTGTTAATGTTTTGCTAAACATGCCTCGCTTATCTTGATCCCAAAGCGCAGAACTGGCAATTAACATATTTTTGGGCTGAAATGTACGAAAAAGGAAAGATAAATATGATTCGCTGCTTCCCACCAAACTCAACCGAGCGGACAATCATATTTAATCTACAATTTAGTAGACAATCTGGGAATCCGAAAGTAGCAGAACAAATAACCCATCAATTTATTAAACCGCATTGCCTGGAATAGCGGTGCCTCCGGTAAGAATGGTGTGATTACGAATAAAAAATAATAACTATTCTAAATTCTCCACCACTGGAAATCGGATTTTGGGAAGGAATTTCATCGATCCGGTCAGTGGAAAGAGATTCAAAAATGGAAAATTTATGAACAGCGATCGAACAGATTATCAGCTCTCTTCATCGGATTCCACCTGTTAGGGGAGATCTCGGTGCCAGGTAGCCGCAGTTGGTAGTTTCCTATTCGGTCACACCGTGGCCAGGCAGTGTGGGGTATGCGAAGATGGTGATATAAATTAGAATAATCTTGATACTCATTAGATATTCCTGTCGGGTCATCGTTAACATCGGATTACAAACGGTCTTTCCTGTGATCGTGCGAAGAAACGTGTAGGAATATTTACGGTAGAGTTAATTTGGACTGTACGTTACCCGAAACGCAAGTATCATTTGCCCCGTCCGGATAAGGATTACCCCAAATATTTTCGCCATATTTCTCGACCCACCACCAAATACCTTCCGGTATCCGTTCCGGTGTTTATGCTCAGCATTCATTCGCGCTTTTATCGATTTCACAGTTCCAGCCTCCCACGTCATCATTGGCACCGACCGACCGTGACGGAACCAACGTGCATAAGAAAAACCCTTCAAAACAAAATATTACAAAGTCATGACGCATTAACATTGCAATAACTCCATCCCCCTTTGCCCCGCCCTCCCACTGTCGTTCACTTTGGTCGCGCTGTGCAAAAATGTAATTAGAATTTATGATGCCTTCGTGCCAGCCTTTATCATCAGCTCGTTTTCACAAGGCACCCTTATCCCTCTGCACCTCGTCGCACGGGGGGTAACTCATACAATTCTCCTTTTATTCTATCACCTCATTACCGGTTATTATATAGCCTCGGTTGATCCGCGCGCGCGGTAGGCTCCCTTCAGCCAGTGAACGCGAGCCCGAAATCGACCTCAAGTGGCCACCACCGACCGACCGGGACCGTACGAGGCGCAGACAAAGTGTTCATGCCAAGCAGGAGATGCGCCTCGCAGGCAATTAACGATTGGTTGGTCCTGTTGCAGGTCTTGAAGAACACAACAATCTCTCTGGCCGCACCGCAGAATAACACCTCGTTTGGATACCTCAGTCATTCTGAAACGCTACTCAACGGGTGTACCCGGAGGGGTCTCGTTTGAGGTTGAGAAATCTGAACGCAGTGTGAATGCAAGAAAGCGAAAATGCCGGCAAACGAAGCGATACCTAAAGATGCAGAAATTGGTGGAAAACGTATTCATAACATTCCACCTTGCGGGGCTGCTTAACTGCATCGACACGACCGAGCGTCTTTTCTTGCTTCCTCTACACAACCACTTACAGTCAAGGTTCGGCTTGTTAGTTTGCGATACGTTCGGAAATCGATCATTGAGCTATACAAAATGCGACGATCGTACAAAGCGAACCGCGAGTGTAGCTCCGCAGAACAACAAGCCAAAGGAGGCAAACCGCGCGAGAAACACTTGTAGTAATTGATGTAAAGTGGCGTTAGAGATTGGAGCGCGTGATTTGGCCGCAGGTTTTGGCTTAACAAGTCGTGTGAGTCTCCAGGCCGCGGCTCAACTGCATGTAGAACGTGAAATTGTTAATACCACCGTGGTGTGATTATAGAGTTTCTATGGCTCTCTGTACATGTGTGCTATTTTGTAGTCCATTGGATAGGGAAACACCTCCAACTTGGGTGATGCATATGTTTCCATCAGATTCTGCTGATTCCCCTGTGAAATCTTTTCATTTCACTTGACGCAGTCAGACGTCTTCGCTGTCTGTCAGCTTTTCGGGCTCCCTATGTGTGTTTTCAAATCAGCTGGAATGAAACGTGAAC